TAGATCCAGAACCCACTTAGCTGAAACTGTTTGTGCAATTAAAGCTGCATTATAAGATGTTTAAGTAAGATTTCAACGATAACAAGCTTATGATTATTACTTAAAAGTCTCCTACACCTCCACCAACATGCTCATCTTATACAACATCTTATGACCACTTGCGCTGGTAATACCTAATGTGACACAGTCATAAGTGGAGGTAGCGTGGGTGCATGCGGGCCGGCTGGGTCCAAAATATGGTCAAAGGTCAATGGACTAGGTTCTGGAGCTTTCAACCGGGCAAAGCTCACAATCTTCAGCTAATGGAACTGTTTCAGGTATCATCATGTGATTTAAGTGTGGTGTGTCACTCATGAGATGGGTGATCACATGGTCATATATGGGGGGAGAGGGCAACCCCTGTTTCGCTTTTATCCAAAGTGCTTCACAAGGTTTTTGCCTTTTTCACGCACACACCGATGGCAGCGAGCTACTATGCAGCGTGCCGGCCAGACAATGACTGATACATATATTTCATATCACCTTTTTAAATGTAATTTTTCAACACAGTTCATGAGTTAGAGGTCATGCTACATAGACATCTCACTGTGCTGCACTGATTCCAAGCTGGCTGACTGTCACGAAACCCCTTTGAGAGAAGTCATCAGAGTGAACATCATGTCTGCTTTAAGGTCTGTTACTGTAACTGCTTAAAAGAAGGAAGTGAAAAAAATTCTAAAACATTACCGATTCAATCAAAGCTACAAACCCCCTCCTCTTTCTCAGATATATGGTTTCCAGAAATCTGTCCCCCACCAACATCCTGGCTCATCAGCAAGCTCATCAAACCATGGAAGCATGATGCTCTCCAAATCTTGTTTCACTGCAACTTCAAATTACCTGGAAAGTCATTGCATGATCATTTCAAAATGTGTTCTATGTACAAAGGAAACATTGATTTTCTTTATTTGATGTCAGCCTCCTCTTGAGTCACCAAAAAAGGACTGGGCTGACTGTTCACCACCCAAAAGTTGTTTTGAAGAAATATTCAATAACTTGGGACTTTTGAACTTGCACACCTGATTCTCAGCTCTACAGTGTGGCTTTTCTTAAATCTGAGAGAAAATGTAACACTGTAACATCAATGACCCCCTGTCAGCTGTGTGGTAATGCTGGTTTTAATCTTTGTGAAATGGTCAGGAGCCACAGGGCCACATTAATCACTCAACATGTCAGGTCAGATGACAACCAGAGAGCAGCTGCGGGACGGCAGGGGAGGGAATGTGGGGAAAGCAGACGCAAAGTGGGGGAAAGTCAGATTCGACTATGAGCCATGGCTGAAGTTAAGCTAAGGTCAGTGCCATCCTCAGGTGTTTGTTTGCTGCCAAACAGCAGCCACTAGAAAAACAAGACCAAGGTTGCGGGGGGGGGGAAACAGTTTGCCTTTAATACATATATTTCTAACATGTACAGTAGATGAGATTACTGTAATGGCCAGCTTGAACTGATTGGTGTCCCAGGGGCAAAAATGACTTGTGGGCTCCAAATGACCCCCGCTTTGCTTCTGTGCAGTGTGTATGTATCTAATGGACTGCATTTACACAGCGCCTTAATCCAAAGCACTTGTAATATGCCAACCTTTTTTCCTTAACCAATTGTCCATTTTTTGAACATGCACATTAAAATGAGTTCAAAGCTGGGACTGTCTAACGTTTTTCTTACTTTTTGTGTTTATTTGTGTTGGACAACATCATTGCATTACAACATAACTGTATTCTCTCAAAATATAAACACAAGTGGAAAGGAACATGGGCGCACATACATACACACACGCACCATGTGTTTAAATCCCTGTGGACACCTCCACCCTAATCTTAAAACCCTTGTTTTAACCTTAATCCTTTAGCCAAGTCTACATCCTAAAACAGCCTCTTGAAGGAGGAGGATTGCCAAAAATGCTCTTTATTGGAAGAAGAAGAAGAACTGTAATAAGTTCTCAAAAAGACAGAAGTAGAAGTTGTTCCACACATAAACCGGCTGCAACAGTGAGCCTTTATTAAGCACAGCACGGTTCTGACTGGCAGTGGATGGCAGACAGAGGCAAGATCCCAATTATTGGTGGAATGAAGCAGGAGCTGTTGCCCTCTGTGAGGTGGCTGGGAGGCTTGTTAGGTGTTCAGCTGCTTGCGGAGCTCCTCCTCTGGGAGCTTTCCTCTCACATCTGTCTGGGAGCCTTGTTACCCCGTCAGCCTCTGTCCTCAACATAGCCCTGCTAAATGAACAATTATTTATGTTACTCAGGTATGGGTTGACTTGGGTTTTGTACTGTGCTTTAATTGCATCACTTACACAGTTTGCAGGATCGTGTTCATTTCAAGAATCAATTCAGACCAAGATTCTGACTGTGAGAATCCAACAGAGGAAATTGTACCAAACTATTTGATACTGGGGTGTTTGCAGCACACAAACAACCAGTGGAAGCCTTTCGTAGAGGAACTACATAAAGCTAAAACTTCTTTGGTTTTAACACAGTCAAATCAGAAGATCAGTTTAAGCTCAGTGTGTCCAAAGAGGTCTGGCTGTGTTTGACCTAACAGATAGCTCTGTCAAAACTTAAGACATCATTTTGGAGTTCATTCCAATTCCAAGTCCAAGTCCAACGACTAATCCAAATTATTTCACTGTATAAATGTGGAATCTGTAGAATAATACAGTCAGTCTGGTGCCAGGCCTCTGAATGTCTGCTACTGAAATGTTACAATGCATTTGCTCAGAATAAGGACTGTGGAAGTGCTTACTCATGGTGTAAATTGATAGGTCTCTTTTGTTATGAACTGGTGCTATATACAGTAAATACAATTGAATTGGATGATTGGCTGAGTGCTGATTATGTTACTGCAGTACATAAGGGTGTGTTGGGAACCCTCCCAGCATGCACTGGGTTTGTGGTTCACTGTAAAACGTCTTGGTCATGATCGAGCTAACTGGCAGTAAACTGCACTGCAGGTTTGGGCTTAAGGACTTGTTGCTCTGACAACAGTTCCACATGAATTTTAAACTAGCTTCAAAGAACCAAAATATCCAGATTCACCAAATGACAATAAAATATAAATAAAACCAGAAGGTCCCTTTAGTACCTTCATTAGTAACGTGGACATGCAATTACTGTCTCACATGTGTTGGTTATCTGCTGTCTTTCCCTGACTGAGGTTGGACTGCCCTCCTGTGGAAGAGGCGAGGAGCCCTGTCCGCTTCATTAGAGTTAAACTGCCTTCCAGAGTAGGAAAATGTGAAGCAGTCTGGTCATCCCAAAATGCTGTACACAGGCCAAGTGTAAGTTAGCCCCTGATGGTGGCACCATAGCAACATTCTAAAACTAAAAAGATTTTTAAAGTAAAGGGAGCTGTCCCTATAGCTCTGCTTGTACAATACATACTGTATCTTGTGAGATCAGGTTCCAGTGCCACACCAGGAGATCTGAACCCTCTGATCTGACATTTTGACAAAAAAAGACCATCTGATAAAACATTCAACTTTTCTATCAACAAGCTGAACATCTGTCTTGTGGTTCAACAGCACTTGCCAGGGCTTGTGTTTATCAAACTGCTAGAAGTGAATGTGTGGCTTCAATCAAAGAAAAGCAAGAATCTTTCACTTTTTCTCCAACTTAAGAATAAACACTATGACATTTCTTTTAACTTAGAAATACACGAGAGGGCTCAGTGGGTATCTGAAGTTGGTTAAGAGTAGCTTTTGGGGTCTCAGATTGCTGCAGTACAGAAAAAATATTTACGGTACACACACCTTCTAATACTTATTTTGGAAATAATCTACAACAGAATACAAGATGAATATGATACCTGAAGTAACTTCAGAGAACAGTAGTTTAAGTTGACTATTTACAGCTGCTGCTTTTGCACTGTTTACTGTGGCTACTGTGTCAAGTTATTTTTATTCTAATATAGGTTTAATGTATATTTTGCATGCTACTGGATACTTGATTTCCCTTGGGATAAATAAAGGATATATTTCTATCTTTGGTGCAACTTCTCTTAAAACACACATTTGACATGACGCATTTTTATTCTTCTGGTTTGTGGCTTACTTCCCACACATCTTTGTTTTCTGCACTTGCCATTGTGTTACTAAATTCTCCTGATTCTCCTCTCATCTACCAGCAGCAGGATTTCTTTCCTGCTCCATTTTCCTACTCTTTGCATTTCAATTTCAGCTCCATTTTTGGTATTCCAACCATATTTATATATTCATATATCAAATATATGGAACTGTTAATCATATTGTAGGATTTTTTTCACAATGTGACGGCCCCTCTGCAGGGTTCATATTGCTGTTCCATATGCTTTCAGTCTCCAGGGCTGCAGGCCTGATAATCAGCAGGATGAGACACACCTGGGCCCGGTATGCCCCATGCATAAGCCAGAGCAGCAACGAGTCTTGGTTAGACCTCATCTCACAGCTTGCTTTGTTGCGTTTGGTTTCTTTGTCGTCATTTTTACAGCACATCTTCACCCATCCGCACCGTTTTGGTCAATTTTGCTTATTTTCTTATAAATAAATTACTTATTGTTATTTAGTTTACCCGTATCTCTCCCGTTTTTGCTGCTGTCCAAGAGCCGGGCTGACACAAATAAAATTGACTTAAAAGGAACAAACAATTCCAGTCACATTTTTTTTTAAGAATACATTAGAGAAAAAGTAAGAATGTCCTTACAGAACGATGGGACATAAGTTATTAACCATGTGATCACTTGGGGAGTGTTCCTCCAAAGCTTTATTGAAAGAAGGAATGAGCTGCTTGATAATGTGTCTAATTTTTCACTTTTAGTGAAGAACTTTTTTTACTCCTAAGCCTGGCTCTAACCCTGAGACGTTTGTTTGAAGACAGGCCAGACAAAAGTTGTTTGATCGCAGCATCTTCAATCCTCTGGCCCTCTAAAGACAACACCCGGGTCACAGTGGCTTGCCATCACTTCCTGGGAATAATAAATCTTTCTGGACTATTTATGATAAAAAAGAAAATGTTTAATAATAAAAACACCCACACATGGTACCATAATTCAAAATGCTGCAAGTTTACAGATACAGGAAATGACACTTGTGACAAAGCATCCTGTAATTAACCTCGTAAAAGGCGAACAAAAATGTGTACTTTTCTCCGAGTCTGTTAACGTGGTGTCGAGAGAGAAATGTCCAGGTGATCTGGACTACGTTTCAAAGTCTGTAAAATGTGAGTACAAAATAAGAAATAAAAAACATGACATGAAATCCCATGGAGCCACACAAGAAACATCTGCCTGCAGGCGAACAGACGCTGTGAAAAGTCTGATCAGTAAATTCACAAAGTCACAGTGACCCCTACGCAACACTGATGTGAGTCAAAGGGCTGTAATGGTGGGAAATGATGTGACAGTATTGTTGATGTAGCAGATTTTCACTTTTACTTATGCTAACCTTAGCAAGGGTGGGTTCCCTACATCTAACCAACCTGCAGCAGATCATTTAGGTTTCATTTATCCAGGTTTGGAGACATCCGTCTAAGATTCCTGCCTCCAGCCAACACAATGAAGGCAACAACTCTGCTAAAGGTTCTCATAGCGTTCCAGTCATGACTGTCTCTAGTCTGAATTCTCCAGAGTAACAGGGAAACCGTTCTGTTCAATATTTTAAATGTCATTTTTCAATTCACAAATTAAATTCTGTGGAGACTTGAATCTCAGAGAGGTATCTCACAACCTGTTCACATAAATCACTACAGCTAAGGGAGTTTTTAATGTCACTGGGTGAACTGATTCTTATCACAGTCTTTAACATGTAAACTTGAATCTGCCAACAGTCATTGGCATGTTTTAATAAAAGAGACAAAGGCCTAAAACATACATTAGCCAAACTTTCACATCAACACCTGTATTTCAGTTACTGATGCTGACAGTGTTGTTTCTATGTGATGTATTCATTCACTCGGTCCATCAAGCCCAGAAAGTGGAGTGTAGGTCCCTGAGATTGAGCTCCTGATGGCTGCGAGTCCACATACACTGCAAGCAATCCAAAGAAGTAGCTAATCCAGATGATAAGCAAGCCACAGGTAGGAAATACAGTAGCTGCCCTGTTTATTGTTCTTTATGTTACTGCTTTCTGTCAACTGTGAGAAAGTATTATGTGTAGGTGTTAATACTGAGCAAATTTCCATGTCACATCCATCCATCCCAACATGCAGCATCATCAACATACAACAAAATCAAAGATAGGGGTCAGAGTTAAGAATTACAGACTGGACTTTTAAAAAATTAACTGAAGAGGGATCAGTATTCAGATTTCTTCAGATCATCTCAGAATCCACTGAACCGTCTCATGCTATTCAAAGCTGACGCACACATTTGTGACAGCATTTAAAAAAAGACAAAAAAACATTTTGGGAATACACTTGACTTTCTTTCAGAGAGATGAGAAGATCAATCCCACGTCTGTGTTCAGCACATAGCTGGAGCAGGACGTGGTTAGCCTAGCCTAACACAAAGACCGGAAGCCAGGAGAACCCGCTGGCCTGGGGCAGCACACGATGCCTCCTAAAACCACAAACTGTGGTTCTTAGTTTCTCTGTAAGGAACAAACAAAATGAGATACAACATGTTCATTAGTGAGCTTTAGAGGTTTGTCATGGTAATGGATCTCTCCAAAATTAAATACCCCACTTTTAAGTGCATTTCTCTAACCAAATAAAATCTTGGCAATTAACATAAGCCAATAAATTACCAAATTAATTAACACCAATGAAAGGGACTGGATTTGGGAAGCGGAGTGGGAGGAACCAACTGAATATCTGAACTACATTTACACCTTTATTTGACCTAGTTCAATCATTACTGCTCGGACTAAATTACAATGGAACATTTACGATAGTATGACATGAAAGCTGCCCTGTAACTAACCTCAAAGCTGTTAGAAGCAATGAAAACGTGAATTACTGACCTGCCTCGCATGTTTCCATTAGTGTGAATGGTTGACAAAACGCAGCTGTAGAAAGCCAGCAGAGATACAGTAAGAACAGACAAAAAAGCCCATCCACCGTGTGACGAGGACAAACAGGCAATCAACAATGTGTTTCAGTCTTTTTACAGAGGGGCTTCCTACTTCCAACGCTTCATTCACTTGCATGGATGATGTGTAAAAAGTCTTGCTGAAAGCAGTGAGTCCAAGCTCTCCTTCTATTCATCCTGACCCTGTTCCATGCTAGTGAGGCACACAATTCATGTCAACCTGGCCAGAACAGGCTGAAGTCAGCAAACAAATTAATGAAGAGTTCACTGTATTTCCACTGGAGAAACTGGGGGGAAAAGTATTACATGACATGTATCTTTCTGCCAGGAAAACCACTGCAGAGCTAAGGGTGGAAGGGTTATTAAAATATTTATACACTTATATATGGATGGCCAAAAGACTAACTGCTCAGGTCAAAATGATAATGAAAGATCCTATGCTATATTTTGATATGAAGACTGAATAAGTGACTAATGTGAAAGGGTCGACAGTTCCACTGATTCAACTGAGTACATGCTCAGGCACAGAGCTGAGGGGCTGGTGAAGAGTGAAACATCTAGCAAGCCAGATTCTTTTCCTAAAGAGGTGGCGGACTAACGCAAGGCTGAAACACCAGGGAATACTGATGTGTGATTTAGGGTGTAACAGCTAACAATAATATTTCCCAAATGATGAAGTCAAGAGAATAAAAGAACCAATTCACTGATACACGTTGTCCTCGGCCATCAAACGATCCATCATCCAGCCATAGCAGACAGGATGAAAAGCCCATTTGCAAATAAAAACCTAAAGGCAAAAAGAAAACATGCCTGGATAGTTTTTAATATTATAAAAATGTTCCAGCCACAAAGTGCTCATGTTTACCAATTTGGGTGTTTTGTGTAAAACTAAACACGTCATGTAGTCTAGACTAAAAAGGCCACAGAAAACAGGCCTGAACAGGTCCAGTGAGATGTGGCTCAGTCTAGTGAAATGACATCCGATATGCCACCGTCAGTCCCTCCTCCAGCGCCCCCCCCTCCTCCTGTGATGACCCGGGTCTCGTGGATTGAGCCGGCAGCGTGTGTGCTGGTGTCGTAGTGGCTGCTGGAGGAGGAGACCAGGGCTGAGCTGGTGCTGGCTGCCGCTGCACTCTGCATGCTGCTCGTCAGGTTGTCGAGGAACATCTGCGGCCGGTAATGCTGGGCAGGAAACACAAGTTGAGGATAACCATCATTAAAGTCTACTCATCAGTCAGAACTCTGACCCTAGGCACTAATTATATGTAATGCATGGCAATTCTCCTGACACTGCAACAAAGGTCTTCATTTTCAGATATTATCAGTTTGGGGTACACTGTGGTCAAATATTTCACCGTCTCAATCCCACAAGAATAGTCAGCACTGGTGTAGAATGTGTTCAATCTACAAGTGAAATGGGCTATCGTGCTTGGTTTTAATCAGTCCCTGCTTGTTGCTATGCATCAATATCATCATAACATCTATATACATTTTTGCTTTTGAAAGGACTTAGCCTTGTCGTTTGAGGCCTGATTGGTTGGATTTTTTTTTTTCTTAATATACACATATACTACAAATGTGCGAATAGTTGTAAAAATTACTCGCACATCTTAAAAAATGGTCGTAAATGCGCGCATTTGGTCGCTGCCTGGAGGCACTAACAGGACTTTTGAAGGCACGCAGTCAGCCGGGCAACATGGCGGCTCGGAGACGCTTCATATCCTCAAGATACCAAAAGGTGGACACTGAACTTAAACGGGCCCTGTGGAGTTTTCCTATAACTAAACACAAGTTGTGTTTACATTCAGTGTAAATTCACCTAAACACACTGAGCTCCAACAAATGTGCTGAATACATTACCTTCATCATAAAACATTTGCAATGCTGGTTTAAAGTAAATCCAGCACTCTTTACATCCACGTCTGTATAGAGGTGGTAGATAAGCCACAGTACTGGAATGGATCACGCACTCAAATTAGCTAGTTTTAACAAAATAAGCCAGGATTTTCCTTTATCCACCTTTATGCAGGCATGCAAACTGGTCAGGGGTAAAAAAAGGTGACAAGGATATGCAAGCAGATAAACACACAGAGACGGTGTCAGAGGGGTCTGTTTAAGCTTATATTTTTATAGATAACTTGCAATTATGTACTGCAAGAGATAATAGATCATTTATGGTGGAAATGTTTTTATTTATGTAAAAGCGAAACACAAAACTCAGGTGGCAGAACGCAAAACTTGGCCAAAAAGAAACCGTCAACAAGTTGGTAAAGTTACTGACTGGTGTGTGCAAGTTTTGGGTTCGTTTTATAATTAGTAGCTTGATATTTTTTTTTAGCTTAAGTTAAATAAGTGCAAATTCACTTTTCTCAAAGCTGTTTCATCAGTTACATAACATTTGTGGATGCAAGCTATTCAGAACATTTTTAACAAATACTTTCAAAAAGTTTTTCTCCTGTTGACTTTAGCCTACCTTACATGTAGCTACTATGCTGCCTCTGGTCTCCATAAATGAACAATTAGCTTAGCTTATTTTATTGGTTAATAACAGCGGACAAAGTTACTGTATCTGACAGGACAGTTAATATCGTAAGCTAGTTTACTTGTGTCTTATATCAGGCTTGCTTTCCAAAGGACAGGTCATCTGGTAGTTTGGCAGTAACATCCTAACGTGTTCAGCTGTCGCCTCTGATTGGCTGTCAGGTTTAGCTATTAGGAGTGACGATTGGTTAGGCATATGCAGCTGTAAATTTGCAAAGTTCATGCTAGATTGGACTCCGTAGATACAGTGGGTACGGAAAGTATTCAGACCCCTTTAAATTTTTCACTCTTTGTTTCATTGCAGCCATTTTCCAAAAATCAAAAAAGTTCATTTTATTTCTCAGTAATGTACACTCAGCACCCCATCTTGACAGAAAAAAACAGAAATGTAGAAATTTTTGCAAATTTATTAAAAGAGAAAAACTGAAATATCACATGGTCATAAGTATTCAGACCCTTTGCTCAGTATTTAGTAGAAGCACCCTTTTGATCTAATACAGCCATGAGTCGTTTTGGAAAAGATGCAACAAGTTTTTCACATCTGGATTTGGGTATCCTCTGCCATTCCTCCTTGCAGATCCTCTCCAGTTCTGTCAGGTTGGATGGTAAACGTTGGTGGACAGCCATTTTCAGGTCTCTCCAGAGATGCTCAATTGGGTTTAAGTCAGGGCTCTGGCTGGGCCATTCAAGAACAGCCACGGAGTTGTTGTGAAGCCACTCCTTCGTTATTTTAGCGGTGTGCTTAGGGTCATTGTCTTGTTGGAAGGTAAACCTTCGGCCCAGTCTGAGGTCCAGAGCACTCTGGAAAAGGTTTTCGTCCAGGATATCCCTGTACTTGGCCGCATTCATCTTTCCCTCGATTGCAACCGGTCGTCCTGTCCCTGCAGCTGAAAAACGCCCCCACAGCATGATGCTGCCACCACCATGCTTCACTGTTGAGACTGTGTTGGACAGGTGATGAGCAGTGCCTGGTTTTCTCCACACATACCGCTTAGAATTAAGGCCAAAAAGTTCTATCTTGGTCTCATCAGACCAGAGGATCTTATTTATCACCATCTTGGAGTCCTTCAGGTGTTTTTTAGCAAACTCCATGCGGGCTTTCATGTGTCTTGCACTGAGGAGAGGCTTCCGTCGGGCCACTCTGCCATAAAGCCCCGACTGGTGGATTGCTGCAGTGATGGTTGACTTACTACAACTTTCTCCCATCTCCCGACTGCATCTCTGGACCTCAGCCACAGTGACCTTTGGGTTCTTCTTTACCTCTCTCACCAAGGCTCTTCTCCCCCGATAGCTCAGTTTGGCCGGACGGCCAGCTCTAGGAAGGGTTCTGGTCGTCCCAAACGTCTTCCATTTGAGGATTATGGAGGCCACTGTGCTCTTAGGAACCTTAAGTGCAGCAGAAATTCTTTTGTAACCTTGGCCAGATCTGTGCCTTGCCACAATTCTGTCGCTGAGCTCTTCAGGCAGTTCCTTTGACCTCATGATTCTCATTTGCTCTGACATGCACTGTGAGCTGTAAGGTCTTATATAGACAGGTGTGTGGCTTTCCTAATCAAGTCCAATCAGTATAATCAAACACAGCTGGACTCAAATGAAGGTGTAGAACCATCTCAAGGATGATCAGAAGAAATAGACAGCACCTGAGTTAAATATGAGTGTCACGGCAAAGGGTCTGAATACTTATGACCATGTGATATTTCAGTTTTTCTTTTTTAATAAATTTGCAAAAATTTCTACATTTCTGTTTTTTCCTGTCAAGATGGGGTGCTGAGTGTACATTACTGAGAAATAAAATGAACTTTTTTGATTTTTGGAAAATGGCTGCAATGAAACAAAGAGTGAAAAATTTAAAGGGGTCTGAATACTTTCCGTACCCACTGTATAACCGACCGATGACCCCCCCCCCCAAATATTTTCTCATTGGATCTGCACAAATCACATAGGTGACCCATTTTGCCGAAAGGTGAGGAGTTTGCATGCATGTTTATGGAATACACCCTCTATATGGGAGTTCATTTTGTTTCAATATTATTTGTGTGAACAGATGAGTGATCCGTGTGTAAATGTGTAATCTGTAAATATAAAACACTTCCCACAAACACAAAATGAAGATTTGTAAACTCACAAAAATATTTTGCAAATATGAAACAGATCTGCAAATACACAAAAGAAATCCAAATAAAAAATATCTGTGAACATATTTAATAATTTACAACTAACCACATCTGTGAATGTCTACCATTTACAACTTTCAAACTGGCATTTGTGTGTCCAGCTTGTATTTGTCGACCTCAGTTCTTCACACACAGAGTTTTGAAACAAACTTTCCGCCAGTGGACTCGTGTCACTCGGCACTTTTTGGAGACCACTCGATGTTGCCTGCTGACGACTTCCGCATTTCACAGTACAGCAGAGCTGCCTAAAATCGCTAGCTTGATGCTGTTCCTAAGGAAAATTTGCTCCTCTCAACAGAAAAAGATGTTTGCAAAAAAGCATTCTGGTGTACTAGAAAATAAAGGCATTTTCAACTGTTCCTCAGCGTTATCGTGTCTGGTTTTAGCTTCAGAAATGTGATGGCTGCAACACTGCCATAACTTAAATTGCTATTCAGTGTTTCCTCTAGATTAGAGTTGTGGCAGCAGAGGTAAAGCAAACTTTTTTTTTTCTCCGTTTGCAACCAACATATATAATGAAACATATTTGATTGGGGGGTTTGAGAGTCCTCCCCCAAGAACACTGTTTTGTTTTTCAATAAAGAAATATGCATTTCCGCATAATTTTGGAACATTGCTAGTACATCTGTGAATAGTAAGTAGGAAAATGTAGAGCAGACGTTGAACAAACTACACCCCAAAAGCTAAACGTGCTAAAGAAGTCTACTGGGGAGGAATAACCATTAGATCTGGGGGAAGTCATTTGGTTAGTTTTGATGCGATGTGTGTACAGCACAGAGCTGTAAACCTGACAACTTCATGCTAATCTTTTCCTCCACTAACTTTCACCGTCACTTTCTGCATCTCTCTCTCATTCGCTCGCCCACACACTGCATACTATAACACCACCTGTCATGTCCTTTGAAGAATGAGGAGAGGAAGCTAGCCATGCGTTCAGTGTTACTGTGCTGAAAATCATTAATGATCGTGTGAAATTTTAGCAGCAACCGTGTTATATATGGACTAGAAAAAGAAAGAACCACCACATCACATTCTAAAGCGCTGCAGGAGCATTTCAATGAGCATTAGAGGTAGCGTTACATGGCTATAGGCAAATTAAGCACTGTTTACAATTATTTAAGACCTAGAACACAATTCTGTGGCAAATTTAAGACTTTTGAAGGCCTAACTTTAGACTTTAAGACCATGCGGAAACCATGTGATTAACACATTGTCTGGTGACTGTGTCTTTATGTACACATAACATCTAGGGTTGGGGCGATTCGTCGACGTAATCGATTTCGTAAATACATCGACGAGCATTACGTGCGTCGCTGCATCCGGTGTGGGATTATCCCAGATAAGTATCCCGCAGCACTTTGTCTAGACGGCAGCACCGCAAATCCTGTTTACTTTCTGTCGCCACACAAGCACGGCACATTATCAGCAAGAGGACACGTAGTGTTTCTTCATTGCCTTCATGTTAAAAGTAATTTCTGCCCCGCTGCTGTCATGGTAACGTAACGTTACACCGCAAACTATCAGCTGCTTCATATTTTCTGTTTATTTAACGGCCACGTATGAGCGAGTAAACAGCTGAATCTAATTACAGACAATCTGTGACAGTCTGTACAGTCTGTGAGTCCTTTCAGGTGTTCACTGATGCAGAAATACATTTTATTATCATTCTGCATTCTCAATATTGAAATGAATCCATGGCAGGAAAATTTAAAGTTTTAAGTAAAGTAGCCTAATTAATGTCTGTTATTATCACAACATCAGTGACGTGGAAATTTGATTCATTTTAAGATTTGCTGTTATTGTCATTATTCTAATGTGCTTCATCAGGATGATGGAATAAAATATAGATTTACTGATTAGGCATGTTTGATATTTATTTTGGATAAATTGGTTTGTTAATAGAGTAATAGGCAACTTTTCTTTCTTTAGAATAAACAAAAATAATCGTTAGATTAATCGACTTGAAAAATAATCGATATGTACAGCCCTAACACCACCAGTGTTGGGGTAGTTACTCAAAAAAAAAGTAATATCACACATTACTAGTTACTTTTTTTTAAAGTAATGCCTTCCTTTACTAGATTACTCACTGCTGAAAGTAACTATTTACACTATTCGTTACATTACTTTTGGGTTAACTGCGGAACATTACCTGCTATACACAATAACTGCCAAACAACAAGTTACACCTCAGATCAACACAAATCCTTATTATAATGAGAGCATACACATGATCTCTCTTTTTTTAAGTAATGAATTTCATTAAAATATAACATAACTTTAGTTTGTTTTATAGTTTGTCCCTCCAACCAGTGCAAATATTAAATTTGTTGTTCATTTATTTATTTTAAATAAATAACACACTGGCCCTCATCACAATATCAGATGATGAGACTTCAAAGAAAAAACTTCTGTAATGTACTCTGATCTGTGCAGTTAACAGGCCAAACCCACACAACAAACTTACTGTAGCTCACTTGCCGAACTATGGCTTTAAAGTAGATTTTCCCCTCTTACTGGACATGCTTATCAAAGAAGTGGTTATACCTGATAAGCAGGAGTCTCAAATCGTTTGTCAGACAACCTGTTCCTCATCGAAGTCAGCACAAGCCTGCCAAGACTAAAGAGCCTCGCCACAGGCGCACTAGAGGGTATCGCTGTCCTTTCACCAAACTAATACAATACTTCCAGCTCTGGAAAGACGTCTTTATCAGCTCTGCAATTTCTGCGTACTCATGAACCGGTGCTTAAGTCAAAAGTGAGGTCGGAAAAGTGTTACGCAAACACGCACGAAAAGGGACGTTTGATTTATTTCTCTCTCCTCCAGTTATGCGGATAGTTGAAGAACCAGTACGCAAGTAACGCAACCATTTTTGTATTAGTAACTATAATGTGATTACTGAAGTGAAAGAGTAATGCTTTACATTACTGTGTTAGACAAAAGTAATCGGATTACAGTAATGCATTACTTTGTAATGCGTTACCCCCAACACTGCTGAAGACTTACTCCCTACTGTATTCATTTCCATTTGCCCTCCTCGTTGTTCCAGTATCCACACTCACTAGAAAGCAATTTGAACAAATGCGGGGAGCCTGCTATTCTCAGAAGCAGCTCGAGGTTATTTCTCTGCTGCTGCTGCTGCTGCCATCCCTGCTTTAGACTGATAAGGTGATCTACAGATCATGAGTAGTAGTGTTGTAGTACTCGAGACCGGTCTTAAGACCACTTTTTGATGGTCTTGGTCTCATCTCGGACTAGACTGCCTTTGTACTTGGTCATTAAGGACTCTGGATATTATTTCAGGACCAGTCAAGACCATAACTTTGGGAATATCAATAAATTGCTTTTGCATTGTCTGATTTGTTAACATCCTGACTTTGATTGGATGTAAAACATATCGCTTCAAATGCAACCAATAACCCTAATTAACGACTGTCACCCCTCCCTGCGACGCTTACGTTGATTTCAGCTCTTAGTGTTTGTATGTGGGTGTTTTAATGGGAATGTGGATCTTTCAGATCAATTTGAGAAGTACCTATGATCTCGTTCCACATTTTTATTGCTTGCCATGCAATGCAGGGAACTGGTCTTGGTCTCGCCGTCCCTCAGTCTTTGTCTCGACTGCTCTCAGCCCCTAAAAGTCTTGGTCTTGACTACAACACTAATGAGTAGTGCATGTTTTAACAGTAAAAAAAGAAAAAAAAACATACCTGAGGATCTGCTTGAATTAAGGAAAACAAATCCAGACCTATAGGTAAGAAATAGAAAATAGATTATTAACAGTAGCACATAGTGGTAGTGATAGTGCTTACAGCCATCTTATCCAACTGACTCACTCTGCATGTCTGTGGGGATGGTGGCCAGTGTGGATGGGTGGAAGGGGACTGCATAGTCAGCAAGCGTAGCAGTCAGATATGATGGGTCCAGGGCCTGGGCGTTTGGCATGCGCACAGATGGCTGGTAGGTCAACACTCTGAGAGGAAGACAGCCAACTCTCAACATGCTTAATGTCCAAATATTAGCTGCTGCACCATTATAAAAACCTTTTACTGTAACAGATCTCATCATTTCTGAACACAGCAAACATTTATCACTGAAAACAATTCTGGTGTCCAGTGCTCCTGACTGTGACTGACTGAGATTAACAACTGATGGTGAGTTTTTTGTTGGTACATGCAGGTCTGTCTATGGTTCTAGAAAACAACAGAGGCTTGCTCACCCCTTCGCATGCATCTCCTCGTTCTTGGAAATGTAAACGCAGCGTTTCTTCAGTGGAGGGTCTGTGTCGTCCTCATCAGACGAGGAAGAAGAGCTTTCCAGAGTCAGATCAATCACATCAGCCTTCTTTGTGGAGCTGGGCTCAGTGGAATGGGGGACCACTGAAGACTGGCGCAAAGGAGCTAAGGCTAAAACAAACAAAAAAAAGGCACAGTAATTTAAATGACCATCATAACTAAAACAGGAGGAAATGGTGTTGGGACTATTTTCAACAGTGGATGAATCCACTTTGGAATAGCAGGACAGTGTATGTGGGACTGAGTCAGATATAACTGTGTCCATGGTAATAAGTATTTAAATCCAGCATTCTGTACATCCATGTTTACTTGCAAACAGTTGAGGCGTTATTTAATGGTCATTTTACAACACGAGGCTGTATATTGAAATTAGTCTCACACACAATCACCACATTCACTCTGATGGAGTTGGTGGGATTGGGCGAATTTAAACTCTCAGACTGGGGGAAGAAGCTGTCGGTGGGCAGCAGATATTTCTGTATGTCTTACCAGACGGGGACAGAAGAATAATATATATATGGCTTGATACTCACACAGTACTTCATGATGATGTACTTACTCTCAATTTTTGGAATTGAGTGAGAGGGGACCTTGACAGCCTCTTTCTTTGGTCTCATGGGACACCAGGTTCCATCCTCCTGGAACTTGATTTCATCCACATCTGAGCAGTCATTCAGGATCTCCAAGAATAAACTGAACAAAGAATAAAATACTTAAAACACCAATATACATTAATTGTACTCCAACTGGTCACGCAAGCAGATTGACTTTGTTGGTGGGTTTCTCAGCTTCTGATCCATGAACCCGTTTTCATGACCACGAGCCATTAAAGACTTGAAGTTCTCATGTTAATTTTACAAGAGTCTCTAACTGGAGACCTCCACTGTGGAGTCGCTTCCAGTGCAGGCTCTCAGGTTGGTTCCACTGTCAGGACAGGAAATACATGCAAAAAATACAAAATAAAGTTGTGCGATTTGACAGGAAGAACATTCAAAAATTATAAAATTAAATAAAGTAGACACTTATAGGGGATGGGATTTTGTCGTTGATTTGTGTTTAATTAGTCAACAATATAAGTGAAAACTAGCAGGCTAATTCCTTAAATAGGCCTATAACGTATAGGTGTGGGAGAAAGAAATTTATTCTAAGATGAGTCACGATGCGTACGTGGAACATTCTGACTCAATTAAGAAATGTCAAAAAAAAAAAAATTATTTAAATGTTAATTGATAACGTAACGTTCAAAGAACTCAAAAAGACGGAACTCGTGCCTGGACTGTCTTTGGCATGTACATAACAGAGTGTTCCCCCTGTATTCAGGACATCACCACTGCGGAATGAATAACCACCCTACCTAAATGTCACACAATCATTAATATCAATGCACAAGTAATGATTTTAACTCACACACACTGTACAAGCATGGTGACACATAAGGCCTGGCGGGCTCTCTGTGCAGGGGTGGAAATTAACTTTTTGGCTCACCTGCCAATGGGACTGGTAGGTGAAAAAGAAAATCCCCCAGCCAAACATTTTTTTACCGGCAAAAATTATAACTTGCCTTTTTTATGTCACGTAAACATTTGTTTCAGTACTTTTAACGGAGATAATAAGGTATTCTGTCGAATACAAACTTAAAGACGACACCAGATTGAAATTTGAAGCAAAATAAATTGCTATAAAATGTACTTAAGACACACATATATATACACACATATACACACACACACACACACCACACACACATATATATTTTGTTTTATAAACTTACAAGATGCTTATTAATCATTCAACTTAAATCTCCTCATTAATTTATTTTATGCTCTGCTTTAGCCCCCCCCACTATATTCATTAAACTTTCATATAGAGTTTATTGCTACTATAGACCTAATATTAATTGTAATTGTTTTCATTTATTAAATCTTTGTGCAAGAAAAACAGTATATGTTGGACTTTAATTTATTAATGCTAAGTACTAACAAAAACATCACAACCATTCATGCACAAAAAATTACTGTAGGTTGTAGTTTTTAACTCTCACATTGTAAATCATTTTTCTGGTTTGCACGAATCTCTTTTTACGGGCAAATGCAGGTGAAATACTCTGTTTAGCAACGCATCATCTGTCCTGAACCCGTCCCGCTGCTTCTTCTTGTTTTATTTGCAGATGCTGTGAGCTGTTCTACATGCTGCCACTGGTTTTAACGGAGGGGAACGTAGCAAACAGCGGGTATAAATAAACAGGAGATGTATGGGGGGATACCGGGAGAGAACGGTAAAATACGGGAGAAGCCCAGGGGAAGTGGGAGGGTTGACAGGTATGCACGTTATAATGGTAACTAGCTAGCTAAATGCTAAAAAACACTCCAGGTACTCCAAGCACAACTTGATGGCTCCCGACCCCGACTTCAATCCCCTAACGCCCACCCCCTTACATATGTACGCCAATCAGACACAAGTAACCTGAAATGAACATAAACAACAACCAATGAACGCCCCTAATCCGTGTGTTACACGATTTTAGATCCCTTGGTACAGTGGGGACAAATTTAAGTGCGACACACGACAAAGGTACCATCCAAAAGCTATTATATGGCGATATCGTACACCGATGTGGTGGGTAGCCTTCCAACATTTGGCCGCCAAACGCGAAATCTACCCACATTTAATTTCCACCCCGGTCTCTGTGTATCCTTAGTGTGAGGCCGAGCGAATTAGTGAGTGAGTGAGAGGCTGAACACGACTAGCAGGAAGTTTGTCTGGTGGTAAATGTGCAGTGTAGGTCACAGTGTGTCCGCTAATAAGTTTCCCCAACTGCTGGAAAAGAGAAAGCGGCTAACGCTAGCTAACATCTCCCCTGTACAGCACGTTTTTTGGCTGCTATGTAACGTTAGCTTAATGAGTAATATTAATTAGCTCAGCTGCATGTCATTACTAACTTACCTACTTGTCAAGGGTTGAGAACATCAGGTACAAGCTTAGACTGAACTGACTAAACTTACCCATTAATTAATGAGTCCATGGCGGCCCGCCACAGTCCAGTTTGCTCCGTCATAGTTTCAAAATGAACCGAAAATACTTTTACACATCTCATAACATTACAGACCTCTAACGTTGTGTTTTGCGGGCGCTGCTTTACGTTACTGTAAACTCACATGCTCACACACTTTGGCAGCCGACTGGAGACAACCACTTTTCTTTTGAGGTAACTACAATAACGTTAACGGCCTGTTTCTGTCACTCGTTTGTGAGAGGGCGATTAGGCTAGCCGCACCTATATTTGGAGTGCACACGTATTAAAGCCTTTATGGTAAAGCCACTGAAACAGGCGAGTGCGAGCTGACTGGGAGGTTAGCGACTTTATCCTGTCAGTTTGTCTCTTTACAAAGACAAGTATGTATGAGAGTCCTACTTGGAGAGAGGCTGTGAAGTCTTCATGTTACGCCATACCAGAACCACATACAACATTATCAAACTGGGTCGGACTTGATGAGTTTAGCGTGAGGATACACGTGACAACACCCGGTTTTCAAAATAAGGTGGAAGTTAGATTAATTGGATTATATTCAAAGAAAGTATAAAACTTGTTAGGGAAATTCCTTAATCTAATTTGTATTCTTTGATTTAGGGTTGCTGGAAAACCATTAAATAAATTTGTTGACTTTTGTTGCTGTTTTGTCACCATTTATAGCTATACAACATGGTTTAAGGACACAAGCTAGTCCTTTTAAGCTAATTAGGAGAAGTTTCTTTTGGATTTTAATGCGTAAATTTAATGATGTGCAATTATCCACAGATCCTGTAAAGAAAAAAAAAATGCATCAAGATGCATCGATAATTTTATAAAATCGCTTCGCAGCCCTCTGAATCGTAATCGAATTGTGAGGTGCCCAGAGATTCCCACTCCTAAAAGCATATCGATTTGGGCCTATTCTGTCTGCTGAGCACTTAACGTGCTAGTGTAGCAACAAAGCCAACTGTATATCGCTACAGTAATTCAACTGGTAACAGTATCTTTTTTTTCCACAGGCACTATTGATTTATTCTGCATCTTCCAAGACGGCACTGTGTATAGCTGCCTCGGTATTCGGTGCGCTTTGTCTTATTTGTGTGTTAATTCAGTTTTCGGCTGTGATTCCCGGAGCTCTTTCACCAGAGAACTCCAGCGGATTTAGTTCCCACATTTCTCACCTCATCAGTGGAATTATTAGACATTTTGGTGATGGACTCTTTGGCTGTTGTTCGGGCTGTGAAGCGCCACAGGAGAGGAAAAATACGGTAACCCTAACCCTCACCAAATTCTTTACAAAGAACGTTTAATGAAGCCAAACACACAGTAGCTTCCGTTATCCACAGTAAAAAAGCTAATCCTACCATACTACTTCAGGAGCTAACGCTAGCCACCGTTGACGTAACTTTAACGTTAGCCTAAAGTGACCTATGTAGAACAAATAACCTAACGTACACGCGTGTCACATTCTGTAATGCATGTGATTTAGATGTACAATATTAACAGCCGTAGCTATTCTGACGGCGAACATACGCCAAGACCCACGCATTCAGACTTTTCTCAATGTTTTGGATAATGCTAATCAGTCACCTACTGTTGCCACAGTGTATACTGTAGCCAGAACAACAGAGAGGGCATCAAGTTACGTCCTGTGTGGGACGCACAGAAAAAAAACCTCTCTCATTTATGGTTATATTTCATGTCCTGAGAGTGGAGCTGAACTGAGAGTGGAGTCTGCACCGGAAGAGACTCCACAGTGGAGGTCTGCAAGTTAGACCCCTGTCGAATTTTAGTATGCATACATACATTTTAAATATATTGATCCTTCTGTTAAAATTAGGAATGTCCTGATCAAGTTCTTATATATATATATATATATATATATATATATATATATATATATATATATATATATATATATATATATATATATATATATATATATATATATATATATATATATATATATATATATATATATATATATATATATATATATAGTTTTACTGATAAGCACCAATTTATACCAATTCCTTGTATGTGAAAATGTACCTGGCAATAAACCAGATTCTGATTCTTAGTCACAGAATTAACATTAATTATTGACAGTTGATGTGTCCTGATTAGCTGCTGCCTAATTGTCTTGCATTCAGGTATAAGAGTGGAGAGGTAACAGATTAGTTACCATTGGAGCCTTGCTAATTTTGCCAGCTCAGTCCATTAAAATACGCCCAGATTGCCAGGACTTCCAATCGCTACAGTGAGAAACTCTATGCATACTTGACAGACAGGGACGTGTGGATTATTTTGGTGTCATGTTCTCACTACTAGTAACTATAATGAGAGCTTGGCTCCAGACAAACTGGGCAATCTACCAAAATCTGAATGTACAGCTGCCTGAGCAACAGCAGGTCATTTTTGTGTGAAGTGGTTGAATTAGTTTAACTAACCCGTCAATGATGAGACTCTCGTATGCAGCCTTCTTGTCACACACAGGACAAATCCAGGTGGGTTTCTTCTCATTCATCTGCAAGTAGAGGGCAGCGTCAAAGCACTGCAGGTGAGAGCAGGTCACCGCCCGGCATGGTACAGTCAGTCGCATCTTACCCAGCTGGAGGACAAAACACACGTCAGTCAAAACGAATCAACCAAGAAAACACCTGGTACAATTCATACAAAAGGCCCACAAGGTAATGGTGCATTCCATTTACCTCATTTACCCAGTTAACAAGTCGGTATTTACTCATACTAAACACAGTAGTAACATGTCCACAGACAGCAGTTGGACAGCACTTTGTGTACGAAAATGTACATGAGAAACAAGTACACAGAAGTGCTAATAAACAGTATAAATTACAGTTTGATTCTAACTGTTGATTCTCAGAGCAGCCATCTTGCATCACAAAGTCAGGGTAGTGCGGTTCTCCCAACTTTCCATTTCAGAAATCCAACTTTGAAATTTCTGACTTTGAACTCAGAAATTCTGACTTCCCTTGTCAAATGGAACGCACCATAACACCTACTAAGCTCTGGCACTTTTATTTTTGTATTTCATGTAATAAGTGTACACATCAGCGGAAGACAAGTGACACACCGTGCTCATGTGCAATATTCTGGTCATCAGCAGCGACATGCCACAACTAAGTGGCTAACAATCAGCTGTGTGTTCACTAGGGTGGGAATCTCTGGGCACCTCAGATTCGATTACAATTCAGGGGGCTGTGATGCGATTATAAAACGATTATCGTTGCATAATTTTTTCTATACAGGATCTCTGGATAATTACTAAGCATTAAATTTGCACATTAAAATCTAAAAGAAACGTCTCCTAATTAGCTTAAAAGGATTAGTTTGCATCCCTAATTTACTTCATTAACCTCAGCTCCATGGTCCCTCATTTCATTAACAACCAGGTGTCAGACTCCTCAGAAAACACAGGATGTACAGTACAGCTTGTACCTGATGTTCTCAACCCTTGACAAGTAGGTAAGTAAGTTAGTAATGACATACAGCTGAGCTAATTAATATTACTTCGTTACTCATTAAGCTAACGTTACATAGCAGCCAAAAAAACGTGCACAGATGCGTCATTTACCGGGCACATAAGTGAGACTCGAAGGCTTGTCGTAGCAATCTCACTGTCTGGATCTGCAGTCAGCTTCTCTTTAACTGGAACACAGAGGGCAGGTGACAGAAGAAACAAAAAAAAAAAAAAACAAAGTCATCAGAAGCCTGCTCCACACAGGCTTTCAAAAAATTGTTAATTGTTCATCCCTACACCTGGATTCAGGTCTGTTTGAGTTGGCTGAATGTTTGTTTTGTAACAATCCTGGGTCCAGGAGGTCTCAGGTTTTTATTTTTATTTTTAAATGGACAGGTCAATTTCAGGTGCAGGTAGTGCAGTGTAGCAAATACCTGATAACTCTAGCTAATAACTGCTAACTGTGCTCTGTCTGTTCACAGAGAGCCATGCAGCACATGTGACCAGGTTACATGAAGATTTGTCATAGTGGTTTACTGTATAGTTACTCAGTGCTCTGGAGTGGTCTGGGTTTCTGATGCCCTTCATCCTCAGTCTCTGCAAGAGCAGTGGTGATGTCAGCTGCCTCACCAGGTACACAGACATCGAATAGGTCTGAAAAACAATATAATCAAACAACTTCAATAGACGTCACTCTTCCTGTCCCCAAACATGATATCCAACTCAAGCACATGAAAAACTAAAAGCTGAAGAGAGTTCCAATGAGGGTTACGTTCTTACTTTTCCAATTTCAGGCGCCCATGTCACTGAAATCTGATTGGGTACTGCAGAGGAGAGTCGGACGAGGGAGGTAATGTTTAGAGGTCTTCCTGGTCTCTTCTGTTCCACACCGTTTTTTGGTGGCGGTGCATAACCCTACAGGAATAAAAAGCTTTGTTAGCATCTCAATAGTAGAGTAATTAAACTTGATCGGCGTTTTATTGAAACTGTTCTGGAGTGAAACGAGCACTTACTGGCAAAGGAAAAAGTTTCCCATTGACCTTTATACAAAGACTGTTTGGGTAATTATCCTCTTGAGGGCAACTTGTCTCTGACAAGCAAAACCTAGACAACACAAAGAGATATTTCTCAATATTAGGCAGCATCTGTTTTTCATTCCTTCCTGACAATTCACTGGGGTATTTGAGTAAAAAAAAAAAAAAAAAAAAAAACACAAGGTAAAAGCCTAGATGCTGGTGACAAGTATGACACTGTCTAGCCTACAGTGCTGTGAGTCAGAGCTGGAGAGAGGAGTTTGTTGTGTTGGTGTAACATTAGGAAATAAAGTCTTGCTAGCAGCTCCTCTTTGTATACAACAAACTCCTCCCCTCGTTTCCAGCAGCGTCTTCAGTTTTTTTTCAATACAGGTTACAAGGTACTTTGCAGCAATCAATGTTAAACACACTATAACATAGGGATGGAAAATTAATCGAAACCAAAATTCAGAGTGTCTAACCGACATAATTTCCCCATGTCGGTTATTTAATCCTGGTAATGTGTGTGTTCATGTACTTTCCCCTCGAAACACCACGTGTGTAGTCACATGACTCCGCCCTGTCCAGTCCTGCTCAGTTTTCAGACCGGAGTCTGAAGCTCAGGGAGATGTTAGCTAGCGCTAACCGCCTTCACTTTCCAGCTGGATGAAACAACAGACTTAATAACGGACACACTGTGACCTACACTGTACATTTACTGCCAGACTGAAAACTTAATACTCGCCCGCTTTCAGCGTCACTTTCTGCCGCTCTCTCACATTCACTCGTCCAATCACTCGCTACGCAAAACACACTGCACTGCAGTTAAAAGACCTGACTCTGCAGCTCTTATAACAGCGCCGTTCACGTACACGCTCTTTGATGAATGAGGACAGGAAGCTAGCAAAGCGTTATTTACCGTGCTCACGCAGTGTGCAGGGGGAAATCATTTATTCTGCATTGATATCAAATAATTGAGTGAAATTTTAGTAGCAGCGGTCATAATTAAGCAGCAGGGATGCGCCGAATATTAGGGAACCATGTCTCTGTAATATGTACGTCAACATTACCTTATTAATTAACATTTAGTCAGTCTAATGGATTTGTGAAATCTGTGAATAAATAAACCAAAGTTTATTTACAGTACAAACCTTGTCAGTGAAATATCAGGACATAAAAAATAAAAAACAGCATTCAAAAACAAAATAATTGTTCAATAATCGTAATGGAGGTGAAATGTTTAAGTAATTGCGATTTAGATTTTACGTGAAATAGTCCAGCCCTAGTATACAAGGTTTTTCCTGCATAGACAAATTTTTCACACCCCCAAAGAGGTTTTCGTGAGCGCCAAAGGAAAATCCACAGTGCCAAAATGATCAGAGTTGAAAAAAAAAAAAACACCTTTCTAATCCTCTGCAAATGTGTTTTAATAGCCATTTATCAAACAACTGTTGCGCAAGCAGAACATAAACTTCAATACAACATCTCATCTTCCAGCAGTCAGCTCTCCTCTCATCCACAGCCGCTGTATTTTACACATGCAGCAGGCGCTAATAAACCAGCTGCTGCGCTTAACTGCGCCTAAACTCACGCTAATGACTTGCTGTTATTTCTTACAATATTAAAGCAGTTTATGCTTGAATGTGCTGGTATTCACCGGTACGGTCACTTCTACATTTTAGTCTCTGGCGTACCGGCACCGGTTCTCTCCTCTGCCCACTAAGTGACGCTCACCTGTTCCCCTTCTTGCCTGCCAATCTCCGCAGGGAGATCGGGAGCCTTCATGCAGCCATGTGTATAGTGGCTCATCAAAGTCACTTTTTGTTAACCAACCAATCACAGCCTGGAGGAGGCCGAACATAAAAAAAAAAGGTTGAGGCAAACTTTAGAAATGTTTAGCTTGTCATTCTGTATGCACCGTTTTTATTTTTGACAAGATTAACTTGCATAAACAATTCAGAGACTGACCAACTTGTAGAGCATTTTTCTTGCACAATAATTTAATGACACAAAATGAAACTGCTGTTTTGTCCAACTGGAATTAATATTAGGCTACTAATGGTAAGCTATAATAGCCTGTACTATTATCTGAAATTATAATGAATACACAAACATTAGCACTAATCAATGCTTCCCCACAGTGGTGCAGGCTAATATCAGAGAAAGGTTTTATTTGTGACACAGCTGAATCTCCACTAATAAAATATCTGTAGGCAAATTATCCAAATAAAGTGTAACATGTAATTATACTGACATTATACTCAGATATTTTTTGTTTATCAAATGGTCAGAAATAACCAGAAAATGCATAGATTTCGAACATTCCACAGTCCAGAGCGTAAAGCTGAACACTGACTTAAACAGGAATGTTACCTGTACTGAATCATGAACGAATTAGCACTTCATTTTTCTATTAAAGAGGTCATATTATGCTCATTTTCAGGTTCATAATCTTATTTAGGGGTTGTACCAGAACAGGTTTACATGGTTTCATTTTCAAAAAAAACACCATATTTTTGTCATACTGCACATTGCTGCAGCTCCTCTTTTCACCCTGTGTTGAAGGCTTCGTTTTAGCTATGGAGTGATACATCTTGTCTCTAAATGATCTTTGTTGGGAGTTGCACATGCTCAGTTCCTAGTTAAGGACTAGCCAATCAGAAGCAGAGAACGGCAGGTCAGCGAAAGGCTGGTAATAGCCAATCAGAAGCAGAGAAGGGCGGGTCAGTGAGAAGCCGGTAAACAGCTTGGGTTCAGCTGTACATGTTGCCGACCAGCTTGGCAACATGGACTGGAGCGAGAGTTTCAGAGTGGTGAGTTATTAATCTGTAACAAAAGTCTCTTTCATCCATAAAGTTTTAACTGAGCTCTGTCTCTACATCACAGGAACAACTTCCTGTGCACTGACTGCCTGGAGGGTAGCTAGTGTTTGGAAGGGAGAGGAGAGCTGTGTGCTGCAGCTCACTGTTTTTCCACCGCTGTTTTTGAGGGCGTGTCGGACTAGCCGCTTGGTAAGCGTTATGACACGTATTTTCATTGTGACGTCACAAGAAAGGGAAGTAAAGGCTGGACTACAAATGAGCTGTTTTCAGTTCAGAGCAGAGTTTTCTGTGGGAGATGGGAACTCCCTTTGGCATTTTTCACTTTGCAAACCTGTTACATGCACAAAAAAAATATATATAACTCAATAAAGGAGAGGGAAAAGCCAAAAAGCATAATACCACCTCTTTAAGATATTTATTTTGTTGAGGAAAAGAGACAAAAGTTTACTTATTTTTACTCAAGCATATAAAGAAAATAATTTCTCTCAATTGTTTCGAATGTTCTTCCTCAGATTTGTTAAGTGATCCAGTAGTTTTGTCATGTTCTGATCATAAGGAACAGTTTAAAACCAGTTAGCCATCTGGTTTCTACAAAAAGCAAAAATCAGCCTCTTAACTTGAATTAATGATTTGACATTTATCGTGATAATTATCAAAATCGAATGCTATGAAATTTTTTGATAAAATCTAGCCCTAGTTTGGAGTCATCAAAAAAACATCAAGTTTTTTTAATATGATTTTAAAAAGAGCTTGCTTTGAATCATTTTGATCACTTAGTACAAGGAGTGACGGAATGTTTCTTAGTTCAAACTGGTCAGAAAACTCTGCGTATTCTCACCTCAGTTGGATTTGAACCATGTAGTCCCTTCTGCCACCCGGTAGAAAGTCCCTGTAAACAAACAAGGTTTCACATACTTTATTTTACAGTACAGACATGGGCCTTCTATGGAATACCAGAGAGATTAACAAACAGTCCTACCTGGATATGCATACTTCTCGGACTTGCTGTGGTGTCAAGGCAAAGATAAAATATTTTTCTTGGTGGTACCTCTGTGAAGAACTTGCTCCTGAAAACACAAATGTTACATTAATTCCAAAGTGCTGCTCTTCAGATAACTACAATACCGTGGCTTACATTCCCCGTATACAAATATTATAATTTATGCATCAAATAATGAGCACATAGTTCACATTTAGGTATATTTTCAGATTGTAAATCTGCATGCATTTCTGTCTCCACAGATTCCACTGCTGTAATCTAAACAATCATCATCATCATCATCATCCATACATTCCCCGCACCATTAACTCACAAATTCTGCTGAGAATGGACCAAGTAAAGTATGTCAAAAACACTATATTTTAAGTTAAGTTAGTGCAAGCTGTAGGCCTGTATTTTGTAAATATTAAACCTCCGACCAATTTTATTGTCCTCCAAATGTGTGTGTCACGTGACTATTGTGGTCCAGTCATGACTGTGATGTGAGTGATCATGCCTACAACTTCAACTACTTTAATTAACCCAAGATGGAATCTAACAACAACAACGCCGCCTCCCCCACTCCAAAAAAAAAAAACGGGGGAAAAACCCAAGATATGAACCGGACCGTGGATTTGGTGAATCGATACACCCCTAACATCTACTACAATAAGCTGGCACCGAATGCCTGATCAGGTATTCACATCATGCGTAGCATAAATGGGAAAAATGTCTATGTTCACAATTTGCAAGTGTTCACATCAAAATGGTGTGAGTGGTGATGGAGTAGTGGATAAGATACATGCCTTTGGTGTGAGAGACCCTGATTCGATTCCCACTGTGACATATCCACTAATTGCCAAGTGTTCAGTGTCACTGAGCAAGACACTTAACTGTAGTTGCTCCAGAGGCGTGCAACCTCTGACATATGTATGCATTTGTAGGGTCACTTTGGATGAAGCTGGCGTGAAGCGGAATGATAACAGAGTTGGTGTTGTGAAGATTATATCACTCTGCAGTGACAATATAACTCCATTTCCATTCAATTACAGGTTTGGCGGTTGGCAAAGCGAGGTGCCCATATTTGTCTAGTTATACCGAGTTCGGTTTATAGGGGACCTTTCAAAAAGTCAGTTCCCCAGTTGCAATTACAAATTGGAAGTTGACATGAAACTTCAAAAAAGAAAAAATTTGTAATTACAGTAACTGCAACATGACATGAAATCATCCTGTCTTCTGCCATTTCCTGGCTGGCTGTATTAACTCATGTAAGAGGTTCGGCTTTTATTGTTTAATGAATGATGTTGTGTTGTAAAACAAGATGTTTTATCATATTAAACCTCAGATTTCATTTTTGAAGCAGTATTTTAAAACATTCCACTTGTAATTCCAAAAGCACACTGAGGGAAACTGCAGGAGTTATAAACAAAAGCAATAAAGATTACCGTCTGATATAAGAATAGGTTTAAAATATGTTCATGAATTGGTAGCCTAGTTGCATGGCTCAGACTAAGTGTTTTCCTTTAAACCAAAAGAGAAAAAAAACTCCACAGACCTAGACTTGAAGGCTTGATTAGGACGTCCAGCACATCGTAGAAGGGCAGGGGCTTCATCTGCACATCCGGGTGGACGGGGGGGATGAGAGGGGCTGGCTGCTGGAGATTCATGCTGGGTTTGGTGTCGTGCCACACAGCTGCTTCACCAGTCAACAGACTGAAGTCTGTGTTACAGGACTGACTCCTGTAATAGAGATATTTGTGTTCAATACAGCGTCTTTATGGCAGCCAAATCAGGCTACAATCCTGGAGTCACGCTTGTTATTCAGCTCCTTCAGGAGAAGCTCAGATGAATGAGCAGCTCTCCAACTTGATACCATATACAATGGAAGAATAAGGTACACCATGACGTGAAGCTGAGCACCACTGACTTAAGATAACGCCATGGCCAGGGTCCAAAATAATCACCCGCCAAGTCCCAAATCCAGGGAGATTTTGTATTTGGCCAAATATAGATTGGACCACCAGGTGATTAAACAGTTTGTAATCTCAGTGTAGAGCCAGGTTTACATGGTTGTTTTTACCAGCACCCTCACTAGGGGTGTGGAAATAATTGATTCTTACACGCATCGCAATACGGATTTTGACGATTCTGAATCGATTCACAAATGTCAATAATCCATTATCTAGAGGTTAAATGATAACGTAATGTTGACAGAACAAAAAATGCAGAATTCGGAAATGCGGAAGTGCAGCACTGGACCGTCTGTGGTGTCCACACAACATGTGACAGGCGGCAGTAGGTGACGGTGAAAACGTGCGGGGCACAGGAAAATATGAGCGCTAGGTTTCAGTCTGGCTGTAAAGTGTAGTTCACAGTCCGTCTTTAAAGTCCGTCTGTTGTTTTCCAACTGCTGGAAAAGTGAAGGCGGTTAGCACAAGCTAAAATCTCACAGGCCTTTTAGAGAGTTTGTCATTTCCTGGAAAACGATTTTAAAACATTGATGACTCTTCCTGCACTTGGGGGCGTGTATTAATTCAGGGTCCAATGAAAATCTTTCTCATTTTTATGACGCCATTGGAGTGTAGTGTTTCTGGAGGCTGACCAGGCCTCACTGATTACTGTATAAAAATAAGGGCGCACCGATCGATCGGTCACAATCGCCCGATAATGGCTTTAACTAGTTTGATCGGTGGTCGCTAAAAAGCGAAGGAGTCACATTACGCTGAGTTGCGATAGCCTATCAGTGTTGAGATTGTCCGTACGTCACCGAGGCTTCAGAGCGATGTGTGCAGAGGGCCAGGCAGAGCGGGCGATTGAAAATCTGCTGGCCGGCTGAGAGCTGCTAAACTTTGGGGAGGGGAGCAGGGAGCAGCGCTGAAACCACTGGACAAATAAACCCCCGTAGTCGGTCAGATTATGCTCTGAGAACTTCGCCCTTTACTCGCGGGAGGAGCTCGGAGTTAACTGCTTTTATTAAATTAGCTTTTTACTTAAGTTTTTGGGATTTCAACGTTGCTTTATCTTCACTGGAGCTTCTCAGCAGCTTCCGTGCACATCCGGTTCCAGGGTTGTTGTTAGCTCTGTCGGACTACAACTTCATATTTATATAAAGACCGGACAAAACTGGACATTACTTGGAGAAAAGAAACTTTATTCCAGCTATCATTGTACTTTACTGTGACTAACTTAGCATAGCATAGCCCTGATCGATCCAAACTCCATTCAGAAAACAAACATTTTAGAAGTTGTTGTCCTGCTGTCTTGCTGACAGATCTGACAAAGCATGAATTCATATGTTTAACAAATCTGCATCATGTTGTAGTTATTCAGCATCAGTTTAATCTGTTTATTGCTATTTAATCACAGCAAAATGTTTTCTTTGGGTTCATACAGTTGTAGTAATGGCGAGTTGTGTTTATTCACATTAAAATCGCCTTCTCGCATTGTGTGTGAACACTTGCAGCGAATGAACTCACGTGATGCCACAATGACTACTTCAAACCAAAGCTACGAGAAAGCATTTCCTAACCACTGGCTCTAAAACATGCCGTCTATGATGCTGACCCAGAGAAAATGCTGCTGTTGAATGCATCTAATACTACATGACAGTCTACGACCAGGACCTGCAACTTTGAGATTTCATACTAACACATTAGTGTTAGTGTGCACATTTGAAAGAGGAGCCGTGTTAGATTCAAATTAGTAATTTGCTTCATGAAAAAGTTTCACTCAGAAAACTAAACCATATTCCTGGGGTTTTCTGCACATAGCTAAACAGATACTTTTACAGCTGTACGTGCTTGGGGAACACTTTCACAAAGAAAAAAAAGATGATTTTAATGGCAAACAATATGGCTTAAATAATGTTTTGGTCGAATGATAATGACTACAACAACTCACGGAATGTGATTTTTTAATGCTTAACTAATAACCGATGACGACGAAGCGTTCACATCTAATGTTAAGCGGCCAGTGCAAAGACTGACACCCTTAGCTTAGAAAATGAACAGAAAATCCCAGAACATGTTGCTGTTGTGTAGAAAAACTGAAGGATAAAACCATGTACTAAAATTCACTGAATCCCAGCTGCTGGAGAAACCGGGATCAGCAGGGGAACGGGGACTGTAGCTCCTAGCGTGCCCAGCAGCTGTTAATCAATTCGTTCACTTCTGGCTAACTGGAAGGATCCTCGTGATAGATTAGCCGTTAACTTTGCTTACAGGATACTTAAGAGCCGTACGCGCCAATACTACTTACTCACACAATGACAGCGTAACTAGACGTAGTTACAACACAAATAAAATGAAGTATGGTTTTAGCGAACGTTAGTTGCAGCAAGCTAACAAGTAACCTAGCGAATGCTAGTCATACACTGTTAGCATTAAAGCTAACTGCTAAAACGCAAACGGTCTGATCTGATGCACATTCCTACCGAGCTACGTCCTGTCCTCTGAGCCCGCCACATAGGGTCGTAATATATCGACCAGCTTATTCCTCACAATTTATCGTAGCATTTTTCAATGTCGACGGAAGTAAGTCACATAAGGTTTTTTTTCGCCTACCCGAAACTCCTCATTTTCCGCCATCTTGTTGTTCCGGTCATCCCGCCCGGCGTGACTACTTCCAGGTGACGCCACAGCCAGGCGGTGGAGATGGGGCCGTTAAATAAGAGGCTGTGTCCGAAATCCTCTCTCATTCACTACTCCCTACCCTCTATGTACGGAGTTGTATGTAGAGCACTATATAGTGAGCTCACTCGCATTATTAAAACAACACTTTCAGACACTACTCAGAGCTAAATCGTGGCCACACAGATAGACCATGTCAATTAAATGACACTTAATATTTGTAGACATTACTCATAGCTGGAATAAATTGGGTCTATAGTTAACCTAGACGGTGAAATGATGGTTATCGCTTGCTGGGTATGTTTGTGAGCGTGGCCGATCTGGGGACGTAGAAGGCCAGTGCTGTACACCATAGAGGCGCACGCATACAACAACCAGCTGAAGACATGGGAGTATGGCCATAGTATGGCATAATGGGAGGGGCTGAGGAGGCATTAACCGGCTCTCCACTGAAAGACCATGCGCTGATGACATGTATAGCCGCATGTCGTCATTCCGCCGCTGGTTGTCGAGGTGGTGTCCAGCAAACGATGTGGGCTTTGTTGATCATTGGCAGACTTTCTGGGGAAGACCTGGTCTGATCCGGAGAGACGGCATCCATCCCACTTGGGAAGGAGCAGCTCTCATTTCTAGAAATCTGGCCAAGTTTATTAGTGGACCAAATCCATGACAACCCAGAGTTGAGACCAGGAGGCAGAGTCGCAGTTTAACACACTTCTCTGCCCTTCTTTTTCAGCAGTTACCCACCCAAAACCCTACGCAGAGTCGCAGTCTAACACACTTCTCTGCTCCTCCATTTCAGGAGTTACTTAGTGAAAATCCTATAGTGACGGTGTCTGTCCCCCGACCATCGAAATTATTTAAAAAGGTAAACAGAAGAGGAGCTGTGCATAAAAACCTTATAAAAATTAAAACCACAAGAGCAATAGTGCAAACAAATAGGAGAGTTAAATGTGGACTCTTAAACATCAGATCTCTCTCTTCTAAAGGTGTACTAGTAAATGAACTAATATCAGATTATGATATTGATTTATTTGGTCTTACTGAAACCTGGCTGGGTGATGGAGAATATGTTAGCCTAAATGAATCCACCCCTCCCAGTCATATTAATACTCACATTCCTCGAGGCACAGGCCGAGGAGGTGGAGTTGCAGCTATCTTCGACTCTAGCCTATTAATCAGCTCTAAACCTAAACTAAACTATAACTCATTTGAAAGTCTTGTTCTTAGTCTTTCGCACCCAAGTTGGAAATCACTGCAACCAATTCTTTTTGTTATAGTGTACCGAACACCTGGCCCGTATTCTGAATTCTTATCTGAATTTGCAGAGTTTTTGTCAACTTTAGTCCTTAAAACGGACAAAGTTATTATTGTAGGGGATTTTAATATTCATGTAGATGTTGAGAATGACAGCTTCAGTACTGCGTTTATCTCTCTGTTAGATTCCATCGGCTTCTCTCAGAGTGTTCATGAACCGACTCACTGTTTTAACCACACCCTCGACCTTGTTTTGGTGTATGGTATTGAAATTGAACATTTAGTGGTGTTCCCACAGAATCCCTCTTTATCCGACCACTGTTTGATAACTTTTGAGTTTGTATTGCTGAACTACTCGCCATTGGGCAAAAATTTCTATACAAGATGTCTGTCTGATAGTGCTATAGCTAAATTTAAGGATGCGATTCCATCAGCTCTAAATACATTATCTAGTCACAAAGTAACGGAGGACTCCTATGCTAATTTCAGTCCCTCCCAAATCGATCATCTTGTTGATAGTGCTGCTGGCTCGCTGCGAATGACACTCGACTCTGTAGCCCCTCTAAAAAAGAAAATACTAAAACAAAGACGGTTAGCTCCATGGTATAATACTGAAACTCGCAAATTAAAGCAAATATCACGGAAACTTGAGAGGAATTGGCGTTCCACCAAAGTGGAAAATTCTCGTTTAATTTGGCAAGATAGTCTTAAAACTTATAGGAAGGCCCTCCGTAATGCCAGAGCAGCGTACTACTAGTCATTAATAGAGGAAAATAGGAACAACCCCAGGTTTCTTTTCAGCACTGTAGCCAGGCTGACAGAGAGTCACAGCTCTATTGAGCCAAGTATTCCCATAGCTCTCAGTAGTTACGACTTCATGAGCTTCTTTAATGATAAAATTCTAGCTATTAGAGACAAAATTCACCAAGACCTGCCCTCAACTGGCACCAACTTATCTCTAAACTCAGGAACCTTAGAAACAGCTGTAGAACCAGATACATGTTTAGACTGTTTTGCTTCCCTCAATCTTTACCAACTAACTTCAATAATTTCTTCATCTAAACCATCAACCTGCCTCTTAGACCCCATCCCGACTAGGCTGCTTAAAGATGTTTTACCCTTAGTTAGCACCTCTATACTAGATATGATCAATCTATCTTTATCAACAGGCTATGTACCACAGTACTTTAAAGTAGCTGTAATTAAACCTCTTCTGAAAAAGCCCAAACTTGATCCGGATGTTTTATCAAACTATAGACCTATATCTAACCTTCCATTTCTCTCTAAGGTTCTGGAGAAAGCAGTTGCTAAACAGCTGTGTGACTTTCTACAGAGCAATAGTTTATTTGAGGATTTTCAGTCAGGATTTAGAGCTCATCATAGCACAGAGACAGCACTGGTGAAAATTACTAATGACCTCCTTATTGCATCAGACAAAGGACTTGTCTCTGTACTGGTTTTATTAGATCTTAGTGCTGCATTTGATACCATTGACCATCAGATCCTATTGCAGAGACTGGAATATTTCATTGGCATTAAAGGAACCGCTCTAAGCTGGTTTAAGTCCTATTTATCAGATCGATTTCAGTTTGTACATGTTAACGATGAGTCCTCCATGCACGCCAAAGTTACTCATGGAGTTCCTCAAGGATCTGTCCTTGGACCAATCCTCTTCACTTTATATATGCTTCCTTTAGGCAATATTATCAGGAAACATTCCATAAGCTTTCATTGTTATGCAGATGATACTCAGTTATATCTATCGATCAAGCCAGATGAAACTCATCAGTTAGCTAAACTTCAAATGTGCCTTCAGGATGTTAAAACCTGGATGAGCTGTAATTTTCTTATGTTAAACTCAGATAAAACTGAAGTTATTGTTCTGGGGCCTAAGCACCTCCGTGACGCATTATCTAAAGATATAGTTTCCCTGGATGGCATCGCCTTGGCCTCCAGCACCACTGTGAGGAATCTTGGAGTTATCTTTGATCAGGACATGTCGTTTAAGTCCCACATTAAGCAAATTTCAAGGACCGCCTTTTTTCACCTACGTAATATTGCGAAAATCAGGAACATCCTGTCTAAAAATGATGCAGAAAAACTAGTCCATGCATTTGTTACTTCTAGGCTGGATTACTGCAATTCCTTATTATCAGGCTGCTCGAAAAAGTCCATTAAGACTCTTCAGCTGATCCAGAATGCTGCAGCACGTGTTCTGACAGGAACCAGGAAAAGAGATCACATTTCTCCTGTTTTAGCTTCTTTGCATTGGCTTCCAGTAAAATCCAGAATAGAATTTAAAATCATTCTTCTTACCTACAAAGCTCTTAATGGTCAGGCACCATCTTATCTTAAAGAGCTCATAGTACCTTACTACCCCACCAGAGCACTGCGCTCCCAGAATGCAGGGTTACTTGTGGTTCCTAGAGTCTCCAAAAGTAGACTAGGAGCCAGAGCGTTCAGCTATCAAGCTCCTCTCCTGTGGAACCAGGTTCCAGTTTGGGTTCAGGAGGCAGACACCATCTCCACATTTAAGAGTAGGCTTAAGACTTTCCTCTTTGATAAAGCTTATAGTTAGGGCTGGCTCAGGTGAGTCCTGAACCATCCCTTAGTTATGCTGCTATAGGCCTAGACTGCCGGGGGATTTCCCATGATGCACTGAGCTCCTCTCTCCTCTACTTTCTCTCCCTCTGTATGCAACCTTATCCCATTATTGCATGTTACTAACACAACTTCTCCCCTTTCTGGTAGTCTTGTGCTTTCTCGTCCCTCTCCTCTCTCCTCCTATCACTTCCTGCAGGTTTTCTGGCTCTGGAGCTGTGGAGTCTGGATCTGTGGCTGCGGGTCGCCTGCTGCCCCCGTGTTCCTGCTCGACACCCTCTACTGCAACGACTATTGTTGCTAGTCTTATTGTTATTATAATCATTAACATTACGATGGTTACCATTAACACTATTATAAATATCTGTACCATTTTTCATTTAGTTATAGCAACATTACCTTCGCTGTCTGTACCTCTGTGTGTATATTGTGTAGGCTGCCTCCCTCCCCTCTCTCTCCTTTCATCTCTCTCTCTCTCTCTCTCTTTCTCTCTCTCTCTCTCTTCACTCTCTTCTCTCTCTCTTCTCTCTCTCTCTCTCACCCCAACCGGTCGAGGCAGATGGCCGCCCACCCTGAGCCATGGTTCTGCTCGAGGTTTCTGCCTCTTAAAAGGAAGTTTTTCCTTGCCTCTGTCGCCTAGTGCTTGCTCTTGGTGGGAACTGTTGGGCTTCTGTAAATATCATCACAGAGTACGGTCTAGACCTGCTCTTTTATGAAAAGCGCTGTGAGATAACTGTTGTTGTGATTTGGCGCTATATAAATAAAATTGAATTGAAAATTGAATTGAATTGATGATATCTCTGATAAAAGAATACTAACTTATTCTTCCATCGTTTCCACTGACAATATGCCTTCGATCCTTAAATTAACAAGTGATCCATCAACAGCCAGAAACTGCATGCCAACAGTTATGGCAAGCTCCTTTCATTTGCCATTTTCACCATAGGCTAGGCTACTATGGCATATGGCAAGCCGTTTTAATATTTATTCCTTAAAACTTACTAGTCACTATTTAAAAGCTGCTAGTACTTATTAGTTACTAGTAACTAAAAAATAACTAGAAACTAAAAAATAAGCACTATTTCCATTTTACTAGTATGTATTATTTAGTTATAGTAACCCCTCCTTTAGTTACTAATAAATAATACAATTAAAAATAATACAACGATTTGCAGAGAAAGAAAAACGTCGCAGATATTTACATGTGCATTATTCTGGGTTTGTGAGTA